TGTGTGTGTGTGTGTGTGTGTGTGTGTGTGTGTGTGTGTGTGTGTGTATTAAAAATGCTTCTGTGTATGCAAAAATTGATATTCTCTATCAGATTCTATTAGGTTAAATAAATTAACTAATTTTTCCTTAGCCAAGTAAATCTGTGAAAGTACAAGCTCTGTTTGAAAGGACCAGAACTAACCCTTTCAGGAGACTTTGATAGTCACAGAGCCAGAGTTTGAGAAGCTATGTTTCTATCTCTGTCTCTGTCTCTCTCTCTGTGTCTCTGTTTCCATCTCTGTCTCTCTGTCTCTCTCTTGTTGTTCTTTGCAGGGAACAGAAAGGTAGGGAGGGCGAGTATGATAGGAAACAGCAGCGTGGCTCATTTTCAAGTGGTCACCCCAAATAAACCAGAGTAACTAACTTAAGCACAATGGCCAATGTGGATTTGAATTCTTCAGCAACTATGCCTGTATTTGTCTGTTTTAAAGGGCAAGCACTGTGTTATCTATTTAATGTGCACAGGGTGTCCACACGAGGAGGAGTCTGCAGTATTTATTTCTGAGTAAATCTGCGCCTCTTAGCACAGATGCTGTGTATCACACCATAACACGTGGCTCAGGTCCACATGCATACATGGTTAAGCTTTCTACCTTGGAGAGGACATTAATTTCAGTGAAATTTTCTCCTTCTTTGTGTTAACATCAGCCAGTGGCTCAAAAGGGTTCATAATGCCTCCTTAGGCATATAGCCAGTAACAAGGGGCTATCAAAGGCCTTGGGAAGACTATTTTTAACCTTTCTTTGTGTCCCCAACATTTAACAAAGTGTGTGGCACATAGTAGGAATTTAACAAATACTTTCTAACTGAATAAAATATAATTGGTTCATGGAAAGCATGGTTTGTCCTTGGAGGCAGATAAGCAGTTCAGTGGATAGACCATTGGATTTGGAGTCAGGAAGACCTGAGTTCAAATCTGGCCTCAGACATTTAATAGATGTTGGACAAGTCACTTAAACTCTGTTTACTTCAGTTTCCTGATTTATAAAATGGGATAATAATAGCACCTACCTCCCAAGGATCAAATGAAATAACATCTGAAAAAACCCTCTGGAAAGCTTAAAGCACCATATAAATACTACCTATTATTGGGGCTTTGGGGGGTTTATTTTGAGATTAGACTTATGATTTCACTAGAATAGGGAACCCCATCTACCAAAACAGATCATCACCTGCTCTAAAACTTACGGTCTTCAGAGTTGCCCAGGGACCCTGAGAGGTTAAGCAGTCTGCCCAGAATCACATCTAGTACATCAGAGGAAAGACTTGGACTTAGGTCTTCCCAACTCACTAGCTCTATTCACTATCTCATGTTGTCTCTATCAACACTCTGCCTCCCCTTCCCCAGCTTTCTCCTTTTCACTCTTTCCCAAAGCAATGTAAAATGTCACTAATTCAGAACCTGGGAATTCAGACCTTATGGCACACTGTAACAGAATGTAAGCTACTGGAGGGCAGGGACCATTTTCCATTGTCTTTACACCCCTGGGGCCTACCACGGGGCACTTAATAAACACCTCTTGCACTGGGTTGATTATCTCAAGCCCTAAGCCAGGCTACGCTGAAGCTGATTATTCCATTGTCTATGGAAGGGGGAAAATGGTTTGTTGAGTGAACAAAGAGCATGAACCAGATTAAAAATAGGATAGTTAGCCTGTTCGGAAAGCAGCGATGTTTGCATGGGAATAATTAATATTCTAATTCCAAACGATTCTTAACTATTAATTATAGTGATTTTGGCTAGATTTCTACTTGGCAACACTTGTTAGCTGTTAGCCTGGGTCACTCTAAGGACCTAAAGTAATAAAACTGTGTAAAAATATTAGATAATTCAAAGTCTTCACTGCTTGACTGGCTTTCCTCCCAATTATTCCAAATCAGTGAGATTCCCCAGCCGTCTATTAGAGAGAATGCTAAACATTTTTACCTGACAGTTGGAAGAGGAGCTCTGAAGCCATCTTCACAGAAATATCCTGACTGAAGAGGCTCCTTTCAGGGCCCAGTCTGCCCTCTGGCATCTTTTGTAAGGGTTCGGTTTTCTCTCGCCCTAATAAAGTGCTATAGCCCACATTCCGGCTTGGTGATATCGAGGCCCGGGAGTCATGGATGTCAACTTCCATGGGCTCCTCTTTGATCTTCACTGCCTGTGTTTCCTTGTAGCTTTCAGCTAAAAATGAACGTAGAAAGAACAACAAAAACATCACAATCTTGTAATTCTGAATGAGAACCAATTTCTCATCATAGAGTCAGAACAGCGGGGGCAGGGGACCAGGACCAGGAACCAAAAGCAAGTATCACAATGAAGAGGCTGGGTTGGGCACATTGCTGTTAGCAGTACCATGTCGGGGCTTCCTTTATCTTACCTCCTAAAGCTCAGATTGCTGCCAAAAGATACAGAGGAAAGAGGATTAGTCAGAAGCCTAGGGTTCAAGTCTTGTTTTTGACAGGACAGCTGTGACCTTTAACAAGTCGTTTAATCTGCTTTGGGCCTCAGTGTCTTCATTTGTATAATGAGGGGATTTGATGAGATGGTCCCTTCCAACTAGCTCTATGATCATATATATGACCCTACGTATCTATTTCTTCTCATGGGAAGAAATATTTCATTGGATCAAAGATCACATTTTTAGATTGAAAGGGACCTTAGAAGTTCATTTAGTCTAATCTCATCATTTTACAGATGAGAAAACTGAGGCTCAGAGAGGGTAAGAGACTTTCTAAGGTTATACTGATAGTAAGGAGCAGAGATGAGATTAAGGTAAAATGAATCTCAGTTTAGCAACACATCTGAAAAAGGTACCAATCTTGAGCCTTGACTATTGTGTATCACTCCTTCTTGACTCACTTTTCCTCAATTCACATTCATACTCATAGGCTGGAGTCCCCCAGAGGGATGGCTGCTACTTCGAATTTGAGGGAGTAACAATGTGGGTGGCTGGCTACATTCTTAACCCCGTAGCTCTTAAGCCCTCAGTGGTATGCTGAAAAATTAATAATTTTTCTCATTCTCCTATATTTAAATAAGTATCAAAATTATAACAATAAATAATTGAGACAAATAATAAACTTTTACCATATTTATGGGGTAGTGGTGTTGGTATAGTGGATAGAGAACATTGGATTTAAGAATTAGAAAGATCTGGGTTATAATCATTCCTCAGACACTTTCTGGCTATGCGACTCCTAATTCACTTCCTTCACTTAACCTCCCAAGTCACTTAACCCCTCTCTGCCTCAGTTTCCTCATCTGTAAAATGAGGGGGTTGGGCTCAGTGGCCTCAGGTCCCCTTCTAGCTCTGCATCTTTGGTCTTCTTTCTATGTAACTATTTACATTTTGGCTAGGACCAATATTTCCACCAAAGTCACCTCAAAACCTTAAAATATCAGTAATAAATTCCTCTTCCCTTTTTAAAAATAACTTATTATTAGTCCATTTAGTGCCTCCTCAAGCTCTCTTTGGAAGGCAGAGATGAAAACAGCTTCCTCAGATCTCTCCAACTCCCTGTCTTCTTTAGATTCTCACCAGCGATAACAGGAATCTTTTCTCCAGCTTCTCTCAAAACCTGACCATCTTACTAAGCCCTTCTCCATAGTTTAGCAAGTCAATCTTCATAATGTCAAAACCCATACACTCTTAACTCTACAGGGAAAAGAGTACATAGTACGAATTCTTCCTAGATCCTCATGGACAGACACACCTTCTTCTTCTCGACTCCATCACGAAACATGCACCCCATCTAACCATTTCTCAACTGTCACCCCAACTACCAAAGCCCCCTGTTTTCCTCAACATTCTATGTATGGACTCTGAAAGTTACATGGGCGCAACATCTGTTGTCTCTTTAATATTCTTATTCTAAATAAGAATTATATATATTTATATACACATATATATATAAATACACACATATATACTTCTAAATAAATTGGGAAGGGAAGAGGGGGAGTTACAGAGCTTTCAAGGACTTAAGAGTTCCATAAATGAAACCCCTGAACTGTCGTTAAAAAGAAAAACCAATCCTTTGTCCATAATCCAAACCTGATTCTTCTCTGCATTTGAACAAATCTTTTTTTAGCATAGCACCACCTTATTCATCAAGGTGGGATGCTGGATGCAACGCAAACAACCACCAATAAGATGTGAGCCCTAAACTTTGAACTCTAATGGTCTCAAATCTGACTAGAATTGTAGATTCTTAGAAATTCAGGACTGGAAGGGACCTTGACCCAAGTACCTTCTTCAGTGAGGAAACTAATGCACATATGGCCTAAGTGACTTGTCTCTGATCATCTAATTAGGAGGAGGCAGAATTGCAACTTGAAACCAGGGTTGTAATACTCAAGCACTCTGTTTATAACACCATGTGGCTTCAATAATTAACACAAATTATGGTAAAGACCCCTTAACTGTTTCTGAACTCAATTTAAAACACATATAATATATTTTACACACACGTATGTTTGTATATATACACACATACATATATGTGGATGTATGCATGCATATTTTGCGTATATATACATATCTCCATACATAGAGATATAGATATGACATTGTCTTCTCTTCACCTGTGTAAATTAGCATCTGAGGAAGCAGTTGCTGTACGGTCAAGTTGAAGCTATCTCTAATGAGTGATGACTATAAGAAGACCAAGACACTAGTAATAGGAGAGGCGGCCACCATTTTGTTTTTGTGACAAGTGTAGAGAGGAGTTGGAGTCTATGGGAGGTAGTCTTTGGTCTGAGTGACTGTGAAGAAGAAAAAATGGTAAGATAACCAGAGTGTAGGGAATCTAAGACAGTGCCTGTGAGTAGCAGGGCAGAGGAGGAAGGGAATAGTAAAGGGATATGTTGTGGTGGGCATCCTTAGGCATTTGGGGGTGCTTTTGAATCCCTTGGATATAGATCCTCAGAGGTTTTATAGCCCATAGGTCCATAGGACTTGGAAAGAATCTTAGAAGGTCATGTAATCCAATCATTTGACAGATAAGAAACATGAGACTCAAGGAGGTAAGTGACTTGTCTAAGGTCACTGTGGCAGTAGTGCCTATGTATGTGTATATGTATATACACATTTAGATGTATATATGAGACATGTGCATTTATTAAGCAGGATCAAAACCCATATGAGTAGATACATATATAATCTCATTTGAGTCTTACAACAACTCTGTGAAAGAGGTGCTATTATTATCTCCGTTTTACAGATGAGAAAATTTAAGAGAGGTTATGACTTGTCCAGGGATCACAAAGCTAGTAACTGGACAAGGCAAGATTCGATCTCAGGAAGTCCACTGCTCTACCCACCATGCCACCACCTAACATCATAGCCACAACCGGAAAATACAAGCAGTACGCTAGCACAATCAATGCATTCCTTAATCAGAGTCCTGTTTTCAGTCATATTTTAAGAAGCAGCAAGGTGCAGAGAGTAGGCGGGGCCAGACTTGGGAGTCTGAATCTCCCCCCCAGGACGATAATAATGCTTGCGCTTGGTGCCTCATAGGGTTGTAGCAAAAATTCTAGCAGCTGGGTTAACTCTGAGGTGCAATTAGGAAGGTGGATCATTTGTTAATATAAGATCGCATGGTTTCAAGTTCACAAGCATTTTAAAAATGCTTACTGCATGCCCAGCACCTGTGCCAGAAACTGTGAGGCAAACAATTGGAGTAGAACATGTTTTATGTTTTAAGAAATTTTAAATGTATTGGGAAGACGTGAGGCAGCTGGGGTGCACGGGCGGTGGGAACAGAATAAGCATTTGTATAGCGTCTACCGCTTACTAAGTATTGTTGTGTGCTTTACAAATATTGTGCTAGGTGGTATAGATGAGGAAACTGGTATTGCCCAATGCCATGTCAGTGAACAATAAGGAATTGATCCAGAATTCGAACACAGGTCCTCCAACTTCAAACCCAGGGCTCTCAGTGGGTACCTAGGCGAGGCTAACTCCCTAAGCATGAAGCAACCACGTTGGCCTCCCTCAAATTCCTCCTTAGAGATCTGACAGAATGTCAACAACTCTCTTGAGCCCTGTTTGACTGCCAGTGGAGGTCTAGTCACCACGCTGGTTCTTCTCGTGCATCTTCCCTTAAACGATTTAATATTTAGAGCATAAACAAAAGAAGCCTTTATCACGGAGCACTTAAATGATGTCATAGGATCCTGCATTAGTCAGTCTTTATGTGGCCCAAGCAGAAATCTGTAGTACAGACAGAAAGGGAATCATTTGATATATAATACAAAATCTCCTCAAAGCCAACGAACAAGACAGCAAAATGCCTTACACTTGGCTCTCTCTTTTTTTTCTATTTCCATTTCCTTTCCCCAGTTTTTTCCTATCTCAATGAAAAAGTACTCCTAGGCTTTGCTATTTGAAGCCCAGCAAGACATGAAGTTAGCCTTAAAAGCTACTTGGGATGATTCCAAGAACGATTTACATGAAGTGCTTTCTGTCCTCTCTTATGACAACTCTTGACCTTTAAAAAAAAAATGCACAAACATCGATAAAAATCTCTACCATTCACAATCTACCTGATTTAGTCCAGGCTCAAGAAAAGGGTTTTTCTATGGTTGACTCAAAGAGCACGTTGGATCTACTGCAATCTAAAAGCTTCCTCCACGCCAAGCTGCCTGCCACGCCTTGATGACGTGTCTCTTCCCCCTCCCCCTTTCTTCAAAGTTCTTGCCAAGTTCTTGTTATCGCCCAAAGAGTGTGGGATCAACATCAAAGAAGAAAAGAAAGAAAGTATTTCCTGTTAGTGTTGGGCCTTTCAAAAAGACTGCTCTAGCATCAGTGTGAATCTCAGGTGGTGTATGGAGCCAGGAGTTCTGTCCCACAGATGTCCAACATCCAGGGCTCTGGGACAGGCCCCAAACTTAGGTTCAGAGTCAAGCTGACCTTTGCAACTTGGCCTTTTCTTTCAAACCATCTATTTCTGTTTAAGCTCTGCACCTCCCACTTAATCCTGCATCCTTCTGCCTCCTCCTTGCTTGGGACAAGCTGACATAAGCTAGAGTTGAATTAAGTCAGCTGTGTTACTGTTCATTTACTCTCTCAGCTGAGGCTCCCACACCCCTGGGGTTAAGTCTACACAACCAGGCCTAATTTGTCCTCTTCTCTTACCCTTCTGAAAAAACAAAAACAAAGAGTTTTTTTTTTAAAT